AGGAGGAAAATTGAGAGGTGAGGAAGAAGAGAAAGGAAGAGCAGGAGGAAAATAGGAGAGGAAGAAAAAGGAGGAGGAGGAGGAAAATTAAGAGGTGAGGAAGAAGAGAAAGGAAGAGGTGGAGGAAAATAGGAGGAGAGGAAGAAAAAGGAGGAGGAGGAGGAAAATTAAGAGGAGGAAAGGAAGAAAAGAAAAGAGGAGGAAGAGGAGGAGGAGGAAAATTAAGAGGAGGTGAAGAAGAAGAGAAAGGAGGAGGAGGAGGAAAATTGAGAGGTGAGGAAGAAGAGAAAGGAAAGGTGGAGGAAAATAGGAGGAGAGGAAGAAAGAGGAGGAGGAGGAAAATTGAGAGGTGAGGAAGAAGAGAAAGGAAGAGGTGGAGGAAAATAGGAGGAGAGGGAAGAAAAAAGGAGGAGGAGGAGGAAAATTAAGAGGAGGAAAGGAAGAAAAGAAAAGAGAAGGAGGAGGAAGCGGAAGAGGAGGAAAATTAAGAGGAGGTGAAGAAGAAGAGAAAGGAGGAGGAGGAGGAAAATTGAGAGGTGAGGAAGAAGAGAAAGGAAAGGTGGAGGAAAATAGGAGAGGAAGAAAGAGGAGGAGGAGGAAAATTGAGAGGTGAGGAAGAAGAGAAAGGAAGAGGTGGAGGAAAATAGGAGGAGAGGAAGAAAAAAGGAGGAGGAGGAGGAAAATTAAGAGGAAAGGAAGAAAAGAAAAGAAAAGAGAAGGAGGAGGAAGCGGAAGAGGAGGAAAATTAAGAGGAGGTGAAGAAGAAGAGAAAGGAGGAGGAGGAGGAAAATTGAGAGGTGAGGAAGAAGAGAAAGGAAAGGTGGAGGAAAATAGGAGGAGAGGAAGAAAGAGGAGGAGGAGGAAAATTGAGAGGTGAGGAAGAAGAGAAAGGAAGAGGTGGAGGAAAATAGGAGGAGAGGAAGAAAAAAGGAGGAGGAGGAGGAAAATTAAGAGGAGGAAAGGAAGAAAAGAAAAGAGAAGGAGGAGGAAGCGGAAGAGGAGGAAAATTAAGAGGAGGTGAAGAAGAAGAGAAAGGAGGAGGAGGAGGAAAATTGAGGGTGAGGAAGAAGAGAAAGGAAAGGTGGAGGAAAATAAGAGGAGAGGAAGAAAAGAGGAGGAGGAGGAAAATTGAGAGGTGAGGAAGAAGAGAAAGGAAGAGGTGAAGGAAAATAGGAGGAGAGAAGAAAAAAGGAGGAGGAGGAGGAAAATTAAGAGGAGGAAAGGAAGAAAAGAAAAGAGAAGGAGGAGGAAGCGGAAGAGGAGGAAAATTAAGAGGAGGTGAAGAAGAAGAGAAAGGAGGAGGAGGAGGAAAATTGAGAGGTGAGGAAGAAGAGAAAGGAAAGGTGGAGGAAAATAGGAGGAGAGGAAGAAAGAGGAGGAGGAGGAAAATTGAGAGGTGAGGAAGAAGAGAAAGGAAGAGGCATAGGAAAATAGGAGAGGAAGAAAAAGGAGGAGGAGGAGGAAAATTAAGAGGTGAGGAAGAAGAGAAAGAGGGAGGAGCAGGAGAGGAGGCACCATCTGTTTTCCCCAACATGCTTCCTGTTTCACTCCTACCTTCCCTGATGGCATTAACCCTGCTGATCGTCTTCAGCTTTGGTGAGATACAACTCACCTCAACAGCTGCTTGCGTCCACGAAGAGAAGCCCAACATGCATGTTAAGTATGATGTGCAGCAACCATTAGCATGGGGACTGTTGGTGCTTCCTAAATTCATTCTTTCTTTCTTTCTTTCTTTCTTTCTTTCTTTCTTTTCTTTCTTTCTTTCTTTTCTTTCTCCTTCCTTTTATTCTTTCTCCTTCCTCCTCTCCTCTCCTCTCCTCTCCACTCCACTCCATTCTGTTCCATTCCATTCCATTCTTAAATTTTTGTTACTATAATTATCATTACTTTGTTGTTTTGCATGTACGCTGAGAGGTTCTGTGCTGCAGACAAATTCCTTGTGTGTCCAATCACATTAGGCCAATAAAAAAATCTGTTCTGTTCTGTTCTGTTCTACTCCACTCAATTCTGCATTCTGTTCTGTTTTGTTCCATTCCGTTCCATTCTTAATTTTCTTTTCTTTTTTGTTACTATGATTATTATTATTATTATTACTTCGTTGTTTTGCACGTACGCTGAGAGCGGAGAAAAATTCCTTCTGTGTCCAATCCCACCTGGCCAATAAAGAATATGGTAGACTGTATTGTAATGTCTGCAGCCCACCAAACCAGCAAGGAACGGTTAAGTCCTACAGCCACTGTGAACTCCAGTTGTCCTACGGAAGGGCTTATGGGAAATGCTCTCCTTCTCCAGCGGTGACTGCTGTTTTATTGCTCCAGACCGTGGGTAATTATCCCCTTTAATCCTGTTGTGCTAAACGCACTGCCGACAATCTCCTGGCCTGCTGCGCTGTATCTAATCTTCACAGAAAAGAAAAGTGACTGTGGATGGATTTCATTCAGTCTCAGCAGGTTTCCTTTTCAAAACTCGCGGTGGGTGAGCAGGGGATGCTCAGGCTGGCCAGACGGATGATTGATTCCCGTCAGGCGAACGCCGCACATTCGATACTTGTTTAGATCCAAGACATACTGTAAGTGATTGAAACTATTTGAGGATTTACGTATTAAACTATGTTTTCTGAGGTTTTCGCAGGTGTTTGTATGTAGGTCTTTGGTTATTCGGGTTTTCTCCCGCGTAAAATTGGAGGTGTCTTGGCGACGTTTCGACGAAGTCTCATTCGTCATCTTCAGGCTGGTGTTTTCGACTTCGTGCTTCTAGGAGCAATGTGTGTGATCGCAGCTGTTTCTTCCTTTTAACTGCCAGTGGGGGTGTGAACACAAAGAATGACACCAGACCCACACTCACGAGAGCCACACAGGATGTAACCACCACACATCCACGCAGAAAGCAGACTCAAACCCACACTGATGATGAGGCACGACCATGGACCAGAAGCCAGACCACAGCTGCATCATTAGCCACTTTAAACCCTCCAATCCATACATGAAGCAGACTGACGCCCACCATGAAGAGCTCGCACGGCCACAAACATGAAGCCAAACAACAGCAACACAGCTCACCAGCTCAAATCCCCCTGCTACACAGACTAACCCAAGCACAACCAAGCCCCCACCTAAACAGAACACACACCCAGCCAACCAGAGCACAGCCAACCCCCCATCCAATCAGAGCACAGCCAAACCCCCAACCAATCAGAACACACCTCCACCCAATCAGTTCACATCCCCACTGGCAGTTAAAAGGAAGAAACAGCTGCGATCACACACATTGCTCCTAGAAGCACGAAAAACTGATGAAGGGGCACGGCAGCCAAAAACAAAAGCACATTCCAGACATATCACTCTCAAGGCTGTCTCCCAGGGTTATCCACAGCAGGCTGGAGGAGTGATCTCTACAACTCACGAAATTGCTCCATTGGCGAATGTGATTGATGACACACCTGGGGGGGGGGGGAAGGGGGGAAACAGGGTCATGATTGGGGCATAAATTACGTGGGGTCAAAGTTGGCTTCACTTGGAATGTGCTGACATGAAGCTCCTAATAATTAACTGGATTTCATTTGAAGCTTGGCTCGAGGCTCATGATTTAGTTAGGTCATACCTCCGGACCCCTGACACAGTGTCATGGTGGAGACATCACACTGCCTCATGTGAAAGTGCTTTTAGAAAGTCTGAAACACTCCTTGGTCTCATGGTTACAGCTTCCTGGTAGTAGCTAGTAGAGGAATTGGTTCTGAGGGGTCCTTGGTGCTCTCTGAGCTTGCTCGTTTTCTTGCAGACTTTTCATGACCCAACTAGGTAACAACATCAGTGCTAGAAAGGAGTGCAGTTTGCTGTCAGTTTATATTCTGCTATCTTGCCTATCTGTGTGGGTGGGGCTGGTCTCAGATATTCTTTGGTTGGGCTGTTTACTGATGGATCTTTGGCAGTTTCTTCATTGGGGTATATTTTGCTTGATAGTTGGTCTGGAGTTGACCTTGGAGGTAATCTATGCTGATCTGGGTGCTGATTATTGCTGGAGAGGTGCTGGAATCTCTTTTGGGCTGGTTGATTGTCTCTTTTGCACTGTCAATGTTCTATCAAAGTTTCTCAATCTTGGTAAATTTAAGATGGGTGGACTTCAATTCCCAGAATTCCCCAATCAGTCATGTGGAAGTCTACTCATCTTAAACATGTCACAGTCAAGAAACACTGTTCTAGATGCTACTTGTGGTTCTGCTAATCACAGACCTACTCCGGAATGAACTTTTATGCAGGTTGGAACAGGTCCTGAGTGAGACCATATTGAATAGACTAGTTTAGTCTACTCTAGTTTAGAGTAGTTTAGCACCAGGCTATGGAAATGGAAGATCCGATGATGGTGATGATGAAAATGAAGGAGGAGGAGGAGGAGGAGGAGGAGAGAAAGAGAAGGAGAAGGAGAAGGAGAAGGAGAAGGAGAAGGAGAGGAAGAAGGAGGAGAAGAAGGAGAAGGAGAAGGAGAGGAAGAAAGAGAAGGAGATGAAGGAGATGAAGGAGGACGAGGAGGAGGAGGAGGAGGAGGAGAAGAAGAAGAAGAAGAAGAAGAAGAAGAAGAAGAAGAAGAAGAAGAAGAAGAAGAAGAAGAAGAAGAAGAAGAAGAAGAAGAAGAAGAAGAAGAAAAAGAAAGTTATGCCCAACTCTTGACCATGCTATGGGTCAGGTCTCTCCACATCTTCCGATCTTGCATAGGTTTCCAATCCAACCCTAGGTTCAGCCAAACCTGTACAAACCTGGTTTTCATTTTACTTGCATGATTTCCCAAACATTACTTAAGAGGAAGACCTTCTTATACCTCTATTTAAAGGAACACACACACTTGTTTATTCTTTCAGTGGGCTGCTGGGTAACAGCAGACATCTTGGAAAAGAAAGATGGATGCAAGAGTCAAAACAGCAACAGGCATCGACTACATTACAGATGTGTAGCTGTGGGGGGGAAACCTTTGGGATTCTGCCAGACTCACAATCCCGGCTACCATACAGCATCTGTTTGACTTTATTGTATTCTTGGCACTATTTACTTTGCCTTTTTAACCTGCTGAGAATTGGGAAAAACAAGAAAAGGAGCCAAAATCAGGAAGCCGTGGAGCTTGCTCTTACGGAGAAGGGAGCAGGAAAAGGCAATTATTTGGAGTGAATTTGGAAACGTCCTCCAGCAAAGTGCGGTCCAGTTTTTTTTAAGAGGTCCCGTCTGCCTCTTCCATTAGCAACTGTCCCGTGGATGCCAAGGTGGGACCGCCAACCCGCCTGTTAAACGTCAAAAGACAGAAAGCAGAATTAAACGCGGCATTAGCTGAAAGATTATATTTCCCTTAAGCCTCAGAAAACGATAAGGTTCCAGACAAATTTACAAGTCTCATTTATCAGCAGCTGGCTATATATATCTATATTTTTAATAGATGGTATGTCTTATATGGTATGTCAGTCCTAGAGGAGATGAACCCTGGCCGCTCATTAGAAGGCCAGATCCTGAAGATGAAACTCAAATCCTTTGGCCACCTAATGAGAAGGAAGGACTCCCTGGAGAAGAGCCTAATGCTGGGAACGATGGAGGGCAAAAGAGGAAGGGGATGGCAGAGAACAAGGTGGCTGGATGGAGTCACTGAAGCCGTCGGCGTGAGCTTCAATGGACTCCAGAGATGGTCGTGGACAGGAAGGCCTGGAGGAACGTTGTCCATGGGGTCACGATGGATCGGACATGACTTCATGACTAACAACAACAAATGTCTTATAGGTTCTTGTAAACTTCAGATGTTCCATGAAAGGCCCACAAGAAAGAAAATAGGTCTTTACACTGGAAAAACAGCAACATCCCCACATATTTCCTTTTAGAGGAACATACCTGGTCATGCATTGCAGACAGAAGGATGCGCCTTCTAATTCTTTGAAACAGAGTTGTTGCTCCATTCTCTAACCAACCAAACTCATTCACACCCCTAATTGCTTTGTCACAATTATGACAATTGCTTGGCAACAGTTCCTGGAAAACTGGCAACCAATGATGTCACCTTCTTTTAATCTCTCTCATTCAAGGTCGACATGATCTCAGGATCTCTTTTTTTCTTCTCCATTTCTGAAGGATCTTTTCTGTGCCACCTCGGAGAGCGGACTTCAGTAGAAGCCTGCGACTTCACTCCAGAAATTCACCGGCTCCTTTGCAGAGCCAAGAACACCTCTTCCCTTCAGCTGTGTGTGTGTGTGTGTGTGTGTATACATTTGGATACTTGAAATTTGTATCTCTGAATTCAGAGTAACTGTACATGTCGTCGTTTTTCTTAGTAATTAAGGCCCCTTAGTTTAACACACACACACACACACACACACACAAAACGACTCAAGTAAAGAAGTGTTCTTGGTTGCTTCTTACAGCAAAACTACCATTGCACAACTTAGTTCTTAGTTCTTCAGTCAGCTTCTCACAGAACTTGATTGCATACATAAAGGAGGATTAAAATCTGGGCTTCCACCATTCACAATCCAGGATCTTAACCACCACACTACGCTGGCTCCCTGGAAGTTGCTAACATACTTTTATTTATATGTGTTATTATGGCTGGTTGCACAATCAGCCAGACTGGCTGGATTTGTATTTTTATCCACCAATTGAGTCCTTCCCAGGGACCTGAGATAGGTAGATGTAGATGTTTGTTGGTGTTAAAGTGTTAGAAATTCTGTTTATATATATATATTGCCACAGAGCAAACAAAGAGCACAGTCACCATGTGCTTTACTGCTTAACTGCTCAACTAAAACAGGAAACTCTACTTGGTACAAAAGAGCATAGAGTATATACCATAGATCCAAACTTGTAAACACCACCATCTACTGGTTGAATACTATTGTAGCTGTTGCATATAAATACATTCCCACAAAATGTATTCCAACATAAGGGGATCATTGCTGGATGTCAGCTATTGGAAGTCAAACTGCCTTTTACAATTGACTGACGGTGATTTTGTCAATGCTGATGGTGTCCAAGTGATTTATTTATTTTATTTATTTAATTTGATTTATATGCCGCCTTCTCCGGAGACTCAGGGCGGCTTACAGTGCGTTAAGCAATAAGCAATAGCCTTCATACTTTTGTATATTTATACAAAGTCAGCTTATTGCCCCCACAAACTGGGTCCTCATTTAACCTACCTTAGAAAGGATGGAAGGCTGAGTCGACCTTGAGCCTTGGAGAGATTCGAACCAGCAGTAAATTGCAGGCAGCTGTGTTAATAACAGGGTGCTTTAAACCACTGTAGTACCAAGGCTCTGGTGTCCAAGTGATGTTCCAGAAGTTTTGGGATTGCATCCAAGACACCTACAAACTGGTGCTACCTTTATTTTATTTTGCTACAGTCGTTCTATTTCTATTTGCAGGTCTTTCTATTGTGTTATCTTCTCCAGTTCTTTCTCTTTTATTCTGCTGTCTCCAGGTACTGCCACGTCCACTATCCAGACTTTTCTTTTGTCTTTCTTAGCAACAACTGTTAATGATCGTCAATCTAATTTTATTAAAAACAACAACCCTGCAGAGACCACAGAAAGAGACTAAATAATGCAAGAGAAAGGCAGAAGCTTAAATGTTTTACACTCCATTTCCGAAGGTATGAAATGGGGAATTCTGATAGAAGCAAGAAATCTCTTGGTTTCCCCTGAAACCTTCCTTAAATGTTTTGATTTCTTTCACTTCCTGGACATACCTTTAGATTTTTGTCTGATTGAGATCTTCCACATTTACTAATCAAGGAGAGAAGCAACCTAGAACTAAGGAGAAATTTCCTGAAAGTGAGAACAATTAATCAGTGGAACAGCTTGCCACCAGAAGTTGTGTATGCTCTAACACTGGAAGTTTTTAAGAAGATGTTGGATAACCATTTGTCTGAAGTGGTGTAGGGTCTCCTGTCTGAGCAGGGGGTTGGACTAGAAGACCTCCGAGGTCCCTTCCAACTCTATTATTCTATTCTATTCTATTCTATTCTATTCTATTCTATTCTATTCTATTCTATTCTATTCTATTCTATTCTATTCTATTCTATTCTATTCTATTCTAGTCCAGTCCATACCAGACCAGACCAGACTAGACTAGACTAGACTAGTCTAGTCTATTATTCTACTCTACTCTACTCTACTCTACTCTACTCTACTCTACTCTACTCTACTCTACTCTACTCTACTCTACTCCTAGATAGTCTAGTCTAGTCTAGTCTATTATTCTATTCTATTCTATTCTATTCTATTCTATTCTATTCTATTCTATTCTATTCTACTCTACTCTACTCTACTCTACTTCTATTCTATTCTATTCTATTCTATTCTATTCTATTCTATTCTATTCTATTCTATTCTATTATTATTCTACTCTACTCTACTCTACTCTACTCCACTCCACTCCACTCCACTCCATTCCATTCCATTCCATTCTACTTTTATATATAGATGGGTTTTTTTTTTCTGCCAGGTAACTGTACCTCTTTGCAGTGTTGATAAGGTAACCCACCACCAAGTCTTCACTGGTTAGACTTTTCAAGTTCTATCAGTCTGGAAGAAGATCCACTTTGTGGTGGCACCACAAAATTATACTTAGCATAAGGCAGCATTTTATTGTGCTTTTATTGGCTTTCTAAACACATACCAGAAATTGTGACTGAATTAAAAAACAAACAAACCACATGTCTTGCTAGCAAGTCGTTCGAAAACAAAAAAGAGTTCCTAACGTCCCATTTCCACCAACTTTGTGGTGAAATGGAAGATGACATTAATTATATCCCATGTTTGAGGGCAGCAAGAGATTTATCTGCGCTTCATAATTAAAACCACGTTTCCCCTTTCAGCCATTTTCTAGAGAGACGCTAAAGAAATCAAAATATGTTGTTGCGTATTTGGGTTTCTGGGGGGGATAATGTCCTAAAAATTCAAATTTTCCTGTTTCTTTTCAAAAATGGCTCTGAATGATGTTTACCCCGAATTAACTAGCAAAGCTGTAGAACTTCTCAAGTCCGTGGTATTTTACCACAACTGGGATGGGCGAGCCGCTCCATAAATTAATTCTGTTCTTTAAAATAAGATGTTTGAAATACCTTGAAAATATCAAAATATTTAGCGGCTGTTAAGGAAATGAATAGCGTATAGTCAAGGCGATGGTTAAATGGTTGACTTCGTTCAATTTATTATCGGCTGTTTGAAGCCTAGAATGAGATTAGCTATCCGATTTTAGCATCCGCAATAACCGTTTTCATTTCCAGCAGGGCTAAGTTGATAGATGGATTTCTGAATGGCTCCCCTTTAATCTCTTGTGTGCTGCTTGAAAAACCATCTTCAGCTCAGAGGGTCCATCTTAATCTCTCAAAATAGGTGTCTTCCATAGAAATGATCTGCCCAACCCATAAAGACACTGCTTTGCTTGCTGTTTCATTTGTGTTATTGTCATGGTGTTGGAAGGAAAATCCATCTGGTTCAGCGGTGGGTTTCCAATATTCGAACCGATACGAACCGGCTGAATTCGAGCTCTGATCTGCTTCAACTCCAAGTTGGAGAAAAGACGCTGGAAACAACATGGAGGCTGATTGGAAAGAAAGTTTAACGATGAAGCAGAACCAGCCCATCCTTGGTGGTTGGTGGTTCTGGAGCTTGGTGGTTCTGGAGCAGCTGACAAAATGGTTGAACGAGCGGATGGATCTTTATAGGTGTCAGGTTTCGATGTCATCTCAAATAAATTGCACTCCCAAACAATTAATCTTTGCTGAAATATTCCATTTATTTGAGTACGACAGATCTGGCCCCGACTTCGTCGTAGCCGATACTAACCCTCTGACCCCCAAACCCTTCCCTTTTCGTTCCCCAATTCTCATCTTCTCATTGGCCATCTTCCAAGTCAGTCTCCCCAGCTTCTGACCTCACCCCACAGGAATGTTCCCCCCTCCCATCCCATCTCCTAGGGGATATTATCTACAGAGAAAATAAGTAGGTGAAAAGTCAAGCCTCGTCTCTTCCTTTTTATGGCAGCATCAGAATGCTGACATCAGGTTTCTGTGACTTTGAAGTTTGAACTGTTTTGGGGATTGTGCAGTGAAGGGATTTGTACTCTGAAGGGTATTGGGGGCAATTCCTATTGCAGCTAATTGGCTCTCGTCCTGTGTTGGATCTTGGGCGAGGGGCTGCTTGTTCTAATCCTACCACTTTGCTTTGGTTAGCTGTCAAACGTTGCTGCAAGGAGTTTCGAGAAATATCCTGCCTCAAATGGATTTCTGCCCGCAGTATTTGCTTTGCTTATGAATGGAGCCATCTAGATAGTTCTCTTCCTCTTTCAATAAGCTCTTTATCTCCTTAAGTGCCGGCATCTGCTGAGGGCTATTAACAAAGATTGGGGGCTGCTTCCTGCCTCTAAAAAACATGTTTCTCCATTTCTCCTTTAGGGAAATATAATATTCTGCCTTTTTTAATATTTCCCAAAACATTTCATTCGTCTAAGAGGGTGGGGGGGGTGGGGGGGGCTTCCCACAATGGGTTTGTTTTATCTCCTTTGGACGTGTTGCCTGGAGAACATTTAATGCACTTTGAATGAAATGAAACCAGCAAGTCAGAATTGATGCTTTTTGAGCTTTCACGCTAGACGTTTTGGAGCTGAATTCAGCGAGTATAAAAACCCCATTTCCGCCCCCTCTCAATTCATCTGCGCACACATTAGAGTAGGAGAGCAGAGCTTACTATTGAATTACTTTGTAAGATAAAGTGTAATGTAATTATGCTCCTAATCTTTGTAGAATAGGTTAAGAGGATTCTCAATTGTAAGATGTGGTTTTGAATGAGACTTTATCAAAGCTATCATTTGGCGTTTGCTGGGTGCAAATTTAAAAAAATGTTCATTTTATTTATGGCCAAGTAAAAGGGATTTTTTCCCCCCTCAATGGAGAAGATTCTCTTTTTGTCCCTAAACTAAGCAGAGATCCAGAATTACTGGATTTTCCCAGGTTTGTTTTTCAAGGCTTCACAGTTTTATTTACTACCGACAGTTCTCGACTTACAAAAGTTCATTCATTCAGTGTTTGAAGTTACAACGGTGCTTGGAGCTAGTATGCATTCTTAATCTAATCCAGTTTTTGTCAAGTTGACAGCTGGATTTCCAACTCCCTGGCTGGGGAATTCTGGGAGTTGAAGACACAGGTTTTGTTCTAGCTCAGAGGGCTTCAAACTTGGCAGCTTTAAGACTTGCGGACTTCAACTCCCAGGATTCTCCAACCAGCTATGGGAGTTGAAGTCCACAAGTCTTAAAGCTGCCGAGTTTGAAGACCTCTGAGCTAGATAGACCCAAGGAACTGAGCTCCATTCA